AGGAGTGAGAAGCTCTGTGTGGATGGAGGTTTCTGTTCCACCCGGTCCTGCAGCCATTTAGTACCAAAGAAACACACAAAGGCGTATATTAATTATAAACTATTTGGCCAATGGCTCAGGCTTCTTATAGCCTATCTCTCTCTTAATTATTAACCCATTTCTATTAATCTGTGTATCTCCACATAGTCGTGGCTTACCGGTGACGGCCAGGCTCCTTTCTCATTCTGCAGTTACATGGCGTCCGTCCTCTTTGGAGACTCACTCTCTGCCTTCCTCTTTCCAGTATTCTCCTAGTCTGGTAGCCCTGCCTATACTTCCTGCCTGGCTACATTGGCCAAAACAGCTTTATTCATCAACCAATAAGAGAAGCATATATTCACAGCATTCAGAAGGACATCCCCCATCAGCTCTGAACCACATACTCCAGCAAGAACATGAGAGGAAGAGAGGCCCTCAGATGCTGAGGAGTCCCTGTTCCTATCAGCTTCCATCACTGGGCATATCCCCTCAAAATTTCCATCCCAGACTCCCAGAAGAAGGCAAGGAGCTTAGGAAGCCCTACTCTCTTGAATATCATCAATAAAGTTCACTGCACACACCCCCAAATTATAAATCAGATGAAGATCTTAAAAGGCTTTATAAGCCTTATGAGCAGTATTGAAAACCCTCCTGCACATTTCAAACATCCTCCTCATGGTCTTGGCCTAGGTTATTGCTTATTCCACTTCATCTTCACAACAGCCTATAAGACCAGTGCAAATGAGATCTGAGTGTTGAACTGCTGGCTCAAGCAATGACACTGATTTGGATTTTTGTTGTTGTTGTTTTTGAAATCATAATATAATTATAACATTTCTTCCTCCTTTCCTTTCTTACCTCCAAATCTTTCCATAAACTCCTTGCTCTCTTCAAATTCATGTCTTTTTTCATCATTTTCTTATACATATATACATTATATATAATATTTATATTATATATTCCTGAATATAACTTGCTTAGTCTGTATAACCTTGCTTGTATGTATGTCTTCAGAGCTGACCATACAGTATCAAATAATCTATGCTCTTCCTTGTTGGTTTGGTTTTTGAAGCATGGTGTCTCTAAGTAGCTCACGCTTGCTAGAAACTCCCTTATCCCTCTGAGATGGTGAATTAGTCACACTGAGCTTTACAATCATAGTTTGCCTACCATGGACTCACACTATCTCAACAGATGAAAACTAAAGCTGTTCTCACACACAAAAAAAGTCCCCAAACTGATACGATGATTTTCCCCCCAACTTCATTTCATTTTTGCAAATGTACTGGTCTGGGTTGGAATGGAAATTTAAAACAAAAATAATCCTCAGGCAATCAACCTAAAATCCCACTCTGGCCATCTGTATCTACTTCATTCATCAATCAGGGCAGCTGCTGACTGTAAACCAGGTAAAACAGATTCAGCCTGTTTCCGAAGCATTGTTACTAACCACCAAAGAAAGCTGCTCCTTGGCAACTATATCTAAAAAACATAAGATGCCACACAGGACCTCATTTATGGAAGGTGAGCTGTGGCCTCCTTTACAAGTCTAGTTTTTCACTTCCCCATACACTGAAAAATTAGCATCTTCATTACCACAATTTTATATATAAGTAATTTGACAATTAAAACTTTTCTTTGTTTCATAAATCAAAAATTCATGAAGGTACAGTTTCCAGGCCTAAGGGCAAAGAACGCCTCACAAACATGGAAAGGTGGTTTGCAAATGAGGAGAAGTGAGGGGAAATCAATGTCATATACTTTTTAATGGTCAGGTGTAACAAGTGGACTCTGCCACAGCAATTTCTGACCACTCATTTCTAACACTAATGCTGTAAGAATTAATGGGTCCACCAGTCATCTGACTTTATTTCTGTATTGAGAAATTCTTCAGACAGGCATGGAGGTACATATTTTTTTTAAGATTTTATTTATTTATTATGTATACAACATTCTGCTTCCTTTTATATCTGCACACCAGAAGAGGGCATCAGATCTCATAAAGGATGGTTCTCAGCCACCATGTGGTTGCTGGGAATTGAACTCAGGACCTCTGGAAAAGCAGTCAGTGCTCTTAACCTCTGAGCCATCTCTCCAACCCCGGAGGTGCATATTTTTAATCCCAGCTTTTAGGGAGGGAGAGATAGGTGAATCCTTGTGAATTTGAGACCAGCCTGGTCTTACAGAGTGAGTTTCAGGACAGCCAGGGCTATACAGAGAAACCCCACCTCAAAAACAAATGGCTGGGCAGTGGAGATGCACACCACACTGGAGCAGAGGCAGAGGCAGATGCAGATGCAGGCAGATCTCTGAGCCAGCATGGCTTACAAAGTGAGTTCCAGGACAGACAGGGCTGCTCTACAGAGAAACCCTGTCTTGAAAAACCAAATAAATAACAAACAAAAAATTTTAAAAAACAAGTTTGAAAAAAGAAAATTTGCCAGGCATGGTGGTGCACGCCTTTAACCGCAAAACTTGGGAGGCAGAGACAGGTAGATCTCTCTGAGATCAAGGCTAGTCTGGTCTCCAGAGAGAGTTCCAAGCTACACAGAGAAAGAACAACAACAAAAACAAACAAGACAGAAAAGAAAGCCAAAAACCAATTTATAAATTGCTTACTTCAATTAAGCCAGGCCTAGTAGTGCACACCTTTAGTCCTTGAGAGGAGACAAGCAGATAGATCCCTGTGAGTTTGAGGCCAGCCAGGTCTACACAGAGAGAGTTCCAGACCAGCCAGGGCTATACAGTGAGACCTTGTCACAAAACAACAAAAACCTAAATAAATTTTACCCCAGTTAAAATATTCAAATATGCAAATCAATCTAAGCTCACAAGTCATCCTAATAATACCAATCCAATTCTAACACAATTATAAGAAAATATATTGGGGCTGGAGAGATGACTCAGTGGTTAAGAGCACTGCTGCTCTTCTGGCAGATCTGAGTTCGATTTCCAGAACCCACATGGTGGACCACAATCATCTGTTACACTAGTTCTAAGGGATCTGATGCTCTCTTCTGGTACACACATGGTACACTGACACCCATGCACACAAAACACCCAAGCACATCAAATAAATAAATATTTTAAAAGAAAAAAAGAAAATATAATGTTTGGTCAAGGAGAACTGTGTGTGACACATCACCTGCTGTCCAGCTCTATCCAACTGCTACCTTGACCAAAGAGGAAAAAACAGCAACAACAATTTAAATATGCTAATCTAACAGAGCAAGTCTGTGCGCTGCATCCATCTATGAGCTACGTTGTACATGTACTATGTACCCTTGCCACGATGGACAGTGGCTGAGAACGGCTCTGAGTCAGAGCAGCACATTCCAAGATACTTGAACTTTTTCAAGTTACACAGTCTGTTTTCTTGATTGAAGCTCAGTGAGTCTGTTGCTGTGGGTTTTGTCTGTCAAACCTAGGCCTTGCGATTCTAGGCAAACACTACTAACTGGCTATATCCCAGTCCCTTCAATGAGTCAAGTTGGGTAATATATATAACTTTTTTCTTTAAGTGTTATCATTAAGAGTTAGAGAGATGGCTGAGCAGTTAAAAGCACTGCCTACTCTTCCAGGGGACCCAGGTTCAATTCCCAGTACCCACATAGTGGCTCATAACCCTTTGTAACTCCAGTTCCAGGGAACCCCAGGACTACTTCTGGCCTCCAATGAAGCCAGGCATGCATGTGGTACACAGACATAAATGTAGGCAAAATATCCATACACATATACAAAATAAAACTAAATAACTTAATGTTATCATTATACCCCAAAGGGCACAGATGAAAAAGGCAATGGAAAGGGAGAGACAAGTCAAAGTAAAGCATTCCTTCTCCCCTGCTCTGTCTCTCCCCACTGCCTGGTCTCACTGCCCTTTTCACCACAGGCTGGTGTTTTGTTTTGTTTTTTGTTTGTTTTTTGTTTTTTCACCACCAAAGCCTTTTCTTCCAACTCTCTTTAAGGCCTACCTCATGCCTCATCTATACCTCATCTTCCTTTGAGGAAATCAGACCTTTTGGGAACAGAACTGAGGCCAAGGGCTGATTTTAGGGCCGATATTGAGGACAAAAGCTTGAAATTGAATGGAGTTTTTCTCCCTAAACCATTGAGCACTGTGCACCTAGGGAACTCTTTTGAGACAATCTAAACAACAGATGTGTGTATCTTTTCTCCTCCCTAGCTGTTTAAGGGAAGACAACCTAACAAATGAACCAAAGCATCCAAACACATTAACCAGAAAGTTTATTTCTAAGCAAACAGATTGGAAAATAATCTCAGAATATCCACTCCAGTCCTTGGTTTCTTTGAAAGTAAATGATAATAACAAACCACTTTAGTTTAGTTTTGTTTTGTTTTTTTCTCACAGATTGTAGTGCTGGCAACCTAAACTTTCCTCAAAAAACATTCACAGTTTCTCAAAAAACTATTACACTGAGATTTTGACTCACATGGGCAAAGTCATAGTCTCATTTGTTTTTATATGGTAATTTGATTCCTTGAAACCCCTGGGAACCATAAGAAAGCAACTATGGTGCCTCTCTCTAGGCAAATGCACAGGGCCCCAACATTTTTGCATATAATTTTCAGAGAACTCTGAACGTTCCAGGTTCTTTAGCAGATTATCCACCATTCTCCGTTAAGATTTACAGAGCAGAGCCAAGCGGTGGTGGCACTGGCCTTTAATCCAGCATTTGGGAGACAGTGGCAGGTGGATCTCTGAGTTCAGGCCAGCCTGGTCTACAGAGTTCCAGGCAGCCACAGCTACACTGAGAAACCCTGTCTCCATGAACAAAACAAACAAAAAGATTTATAGAGCTCAACTATGAACTTGGTTTCTTCTGTCAACTGTTACCTATCTTTTCCTTATGGAGAACTTAGAGCTGAGAAACAGCTTCTCTTTGCAAATATCACTATGTCTAGCACCACCCTCACACTTGGGGGGAGGAAAAAAAAAAAAAACAAAAACACGAACTTACCTCTGAGAAATTAACGGCCAAAGGAATGATTCCAGCCACATAGCATCCCACCAACATCGCCAAAGACAGCAGACTAATGGAGAGAAAATCATCCATTCTGCCCTCCTGTAGTCACCCTCTACCACCAGGCTTCAAAAAAATTCCAGCGGCTTGCAAAGGCGCTTGGGCTCTTTATACGTGCGGTTTTCCAAGAGGTCAGGGGAAGTTCCCCACTGCTTTCAACCTTTGCCACCAGCCGGTGTGTTCACGAAGCACCTTCTCTCTTACGTGCTAAGAGGTAAGCTCCTTTTTGCTGGTACTAGCACCAGAGTAAACTTTGTGCAACCTTGGGTGCTTGGATGGCAGTCACTGGGATTCCGGCAGGTAACAGATGGACAAAGTGTGCGAAAGAGATCTCTCCGATGTTCGGAATGAGGGTGGCACAATGACCCACTGCCCCAGACAGCGCGTCTGGTAGCAGCAAGGAAAAGGCAAACCCAAGGGTCTTCTCCTCGGGCGGCACCTGGTTCTCTAGGGTGGCCCCGCAGGTGGTCCGCCCCGGGGAGGGGACCAGCCCACCAGTCCCAGCAAACTCCCTTCAAGTCTAGAGTCGAGCAAGCTGTCCCGCAAGTCTCCAACAGTGGCCCCCGAGGATTCAACAGCAAAGCCGAAATAAAGCTGTCTCTGTCCTACACCGGGTGCTGCCCATGGTACTTCCCTCAGCCAGGCCCTGACCCTGAGTCGCCAGTACTACAGCTGCCATGGCCGCCAAGTGGCACCTCTTCATTACTCCCACTTCCGGATTGTCTCACCACCCCCTCTTTAGCAGGGTACTTCCGGGTTACAACCGACCTATAAGCCGCGGTACTTATATTGCCGCCATTTTTTAGAAAGGCTAAAAAAAAAAGACTGGTGTCGCTGTAGCGTTCTCCAACACTTTAGCTACCCGTCTGCTAATTGAAGTACAGAAGGCAGCGTCCCGAAACAAACTATCAGTTCCTAAAGCTGCAAAATGCCCTCTTACGCGTCTCAGTGCCCTTACCCAAGATGGCTGAAACGGAGTCAACATCCGCTCTAGAGACCGGAAGCGTGTGAATCTCTATGGTCCAAAAGGCTCTTTCGCGTCGCGCTTCCGGCGATTTCCGGCGACTGCTCTCGCGGGATTGGCTGTTGGCGGCGTTGCGGCTGAGCTCGTGTGCGGCGGCGGCGGTGTTAGCGGCGGCTGCAGCAAAGCGTTTGGCGCGATGGTGAGGCCTCCGCGGTTCCCGGGGTCCCCAACTTCGAGGGCCGCCCCTGCTCCGTACATCTTCCCGTTCCTCCTGTTCCCGTCCATCCGGCGCGAGCGAGCGAGCTGCTCCCCGCCCCCCAAGCTCGCGGGTCGACCCTTCCCCTTCCCGGCGCTGAGACGCGGGGCCTGGCCGTAGGCCCCGGACCTGGTCCGCCCTGCGGCTGCGCGCCCTCCTGCTGCTGGCGGGGGCGAGGTGTGCGGTGGGCAGAGGGTGCACTGTTTGCGTCTCGCTGCCTGGAAGAGGGAGGCGTGGGGGGCCGGTTCTTTCCCTTCAGATGCACCCGCTAGCTAGCGGACCGTAGGAACAATGGCGGGGAACGTGTGTCAGACCCTTTCCTGAAATCGACTCGCTCGTCACCTTTACCGTTCGCCGCATGTGGGCCCGGGGGGTCGGATTCGCTTTGCAGTGTGCCTCCTCGGCCGTCCCCGCAGTGTTCCAAAAGAAAAAAAAAAGTATTTTTCCCTTTTTCAGTAGCCTCGGTTGCCCCTGTTTGGCGATTCCAGCAGCCTCCGATCTTGTTCTTAATTAGGTTTCCTTGAGAGTGGAGCCTGAAAAAGAGACTCCAGGGTCCGGGTCCTAAAAATGCGACAGGGGTGGTTGTAAAGTGTGATCTTTAACGTTCTGTAAAGGTTTTTTTCTTTTGTTTTACTTCCTAAGTGTCCGTTTGTGCATGTGAGTACAGGTGCCCGCTGAGACCAGAAGAGGGTGTGAGATCCTCAGGATCTGCATTTGCAACTGGTGGATGAGGGTGCTGGGAACCAAACTTGGGTCCTCTGTGAGAGTAGCTCGTGCTCTTAGCTACTGAGTTGTCTCTTCAATCCGTTATTGTTTTGCTTTTGGGGGTGTTTACAAGATTTTTTTCTTCTGTGTACGGATGTTCTGCCTGCATGTCTGTGTGCCACTTGCACGCAGTGTCTGCGGCAGACGGAAGAGGGTGTCCGATCCCCTGGAATTGAAATTACAGATGCTTGTGAGCAGGGAATTGGAAAACCGGTCCCTTGGAAAAAGAGCTTGTGCTCTTAACCTCCAGTACCCCAGCCTCCTGTTCTTAAGCAAACAAAAGGGAGAAGCTCATGGGATTTGTTTAAGCAGAACTGTGTGCATATATACTTTTCAAATGTTCAGATTATTCCTAATTTGAAGACTGGCAAAGAATGAATAGCTTGTCTAGGATAAGCCATTACAAGAGTACAGATATAGTTCTCATAAGACTATTTTCTTCTCAATAAGGGACATACTGAAAGTGCTTTGAGTAGCTGGCCTTTTTGAACCCCTATAAAGCAAATCTAATTTCATGCTTTCTCTGGCTGTTGATCACTAACAAAGCACAGTTGCTACTAGGTCGAATAGTTCAATGGATTTTTTAGGATATACGTTACTAATTTATCTTACACTGAAGAGTGACTTGTGAATAAAGATGTGGCTTCACTGTTGCCCTCGTTGGAAAAGACCTTAGGTTGATGAGGTGGTTGTAGTATTCCCCTTTCTCTCTCCCTATATCCCCAATGTCTTAGTTTTTATTGAGAGTTAATAGAGCTAGAGACAGAAGAGTAACGAAGTAGCTTTTGTGAGTACTTGCTGGCAGGGATATTTGTACTGGGAGAAATGACCCTTAGGGCTAATTTAGGGGAGTTGTGAACCTAGCACTGACAACATATGTTGGCAGAGGCATCCGTATTGGGGATGTATTGTGTTTTAATAACTAACATTCATTTCATATACATGGGCTTTATGTTGTGAATTTCTGAAATGCATATTAGGATATACATTGAAACTGTTTTTCCCCTCAGTCTCACACCATTTTGCTGGTACAGCCTACCAAGAGGCCAGAAGGCAGGACTTACGCTGACTATGAGTCTGTGAATGAGTGCATGGAAGGTGAGTGGTCACTTGCGGAAAGGTAAACTGATCAAAGGTGAAGTCCTCCAAATACACACACCATACTCTTGTGAGATAAATAGCATTTGAGAACTGGAATTGTCTGGTCGTGTGTGTCCCCCTGGCCCCCAAGATCTCTTGAATTACTATTTTAAGCAGGGAAAATCTGTTTTTAGCATGGACTGTTAAAATATTTTGTTATGACATAATATGGGTATTTTATATACAGCTCTTACATATTCTGGCTAAACTATAGCACTAGAGTTGTTATGGCTGACTCTGAATGCCTTCTGAAACCTCATAAACTGACTATTAAACCAATAAATGTTAAAAGCTGGCCAGGCATAGTGGCGCACACCTTTAATCCCAACACTCTGGAGGCAGAGACAGGTGGATCTCTGACTTCACTCCCACCCCAGGAACAAATTAGCTCTTAATGTTTCTTCACTGGTAAACCATTAGAACACAGACTGGTTTACTGTTCTCTGCAGAGTGATTTGTTTTTGTGCTTAATCATTACATCATGTTAACTGGTTGTGCTGCCCTACATTGTTTCTAGGAAGGTGTGTGTTCTTTGCCTCTTGCTATCAAAAAGTTATATAGTTGATTTGGTTTGGCTGCTCAACAAGTCCCTAAAACTGTTATGGTTCAAAACTAACTGGGTTAGGCTCCAAATCTAACAGTGATTAATAATGCTTATAAAAACAAAGACTGCTTATAATCAAAGGTGGCTTCAAGGTAGATAGTGCAATAATACCCTTGGCACTGCCATCAGGTTCTGCTCTTAAAGATGAAAAGGGGAGCAGGGAAGTGGTGGCACACACCTTTAATCTCAGCACTTGAGTGGCAGAAGCCTACCACCATAGCATAATGTCTTCAGGTCTGTATTATCATGTCTGGGTTATGGACAGTGGCCTTTCCTAGCCTTTATCAATCTTAATAAAGCCTAACTTTGTCTATTAATGAAAGTTCTTTGTTGTTTTGTTTTTCGAGGCAGGGGTTCTCTGTGTAGCTTTGGAGCCTGTCCTGGAACTAGATCTTGTAGATCAGGCTGGCCTTGAACTCACAGAGATCCACCTGCCTCTGCCTCCTGAGCACTGGGATTAAAGGCGTGCACCACTAACGCCCAGTTTATGTCAGTTTTGATACCTACCCAAACTAACCTAGAATGCAAGAGTCTCCTACGCTGGCCTCTTTGAGTACTGGGACTGTAGGTATGTACTTTTATTAATGTGTGGATTTAGGTTTGTAGTGTGTGTACATAGCAGCATCCACCCCCTCCACTGACAACTCTGTCCATTAACATCTTACCTTGATATGTTGTTACAGTGGTGAACTGAAGCTGACAAATTGATTACTCTGTTTCATAGTTTATATTAGGGTTCATATTCTGTGTTGTGCAGTTCTGTAGAATTTTACCAAATTGATTGGATGATGGGTTTGTCAAAATAAAACGATAAATATTCCTCCTATACCTGTCCCACCCTCCAGGCCAATGGCAGCTACCAGTCTTTAAACCTGTAATACCTAATACATCGTAAATATTATGTAAATAACTATTACATGTTTTTTGTTGGGGAACTAAGAAAAAGTGTATAAATGTTCAGAAACTGGAATTTGTTTTTCAAACATTTTTAGATTAGAATTGTAGTTTGGGGCTTGGGATGTAGCTCATTTTATCGAGTGACTTAATCTGGAATGTACAGAGTGAGGATGTTCCTTGGCACAGCATGAACAGGTATGCACTTGTAATCCAGCACTTGGGAAGAGGAGGCAGGAGATGGGAGGTTCAAGTTTATCCTCAGCTATAGTGAGTTCAAAGCTAGCCTAGACTACGTATGACACTGTGGAAAAGAGAAATGGTGATTTGGTTCCCATTTTAAAAAGTTAAAGATGAGTGCTGGCTTTATCATGTAATCCTAGCTTACTTAGGAGGCTGAGTCAGGAGGAGCCCAAGGTTGAAGCTACTAGCTACATGGTCAATTGCAGGACAGCTTGAGGTGAATAGTGGGTTACTTTCTGATAAAACCCAGGTTGGGAGGAGTATGGGGAGGTAACTGAGAGGCTGGGGTGTGGCTCAGTGTTAGAGCATTTGCTTAGCATGCTTGAAGCCCTAGTTTCAAGCCTACCACTGCCAATAGCAGACATTTTGTCTTCATGGAACAACTACCTGAGTGCCCCTCCCTCCCTCCCTCTCCACAAGTTGCTTCAGTTAGATTTATTGGTAAGAGCTGTATTTTATTATGTCATATATGGAGTTAAAGTTGTTTTGGAGTCTTTTTTTTTTTAGATTGTATAGAAATACAGGCGATTTTCATATATTGATTGTGTATTACAGCCTTGGTACCTCATTTATTAGTTCTAGTGATGTTTTGTTAACTTGCCTTGTTGCTCTGGCTACAGCCTGTAGTGGAGTGCTGAGTAAATGTTCCTTCTTCCTGGTGGTAGCAGATAAGCATAGTCTGTGACCACTAAACATGACAGTAGGGACAGGTCAGTGAATTTACCTTTCTGGGCTTCACTTCCTTTTCATTTTATCAGTTATATGATTTCAGTATAGTATGCTAGTAGCAATTAAAAGGAGGTGTGGGGGGAATAGTTTAGTCAGTAAAGGAATACTCACCAGTGAGTGTGGAGAGCCCCACAGCCATGTAAACAAGCCAAACCTGATGCTGAGGTGTAGAAACAAGTGGATCCTAGGGACTGGCCAGCCTAGCCTGAGTGAGCTGCAGGCTCAGAGATGAAGGAAGATGACATTTCACCTCCTCATGTGCAAACACAAACAAAAACATGTAAAATAGTTAACTTGATACTTTTAGCCTTGCACT